CAACAGTGAGAATTGAAGTAATTTGCTCAAGTAAGTACTCTGCAAATTACACAGTCTATGTTCTTCAACTGTCGCTATATTTCTCCCTCTACTCTGTAAATTACATCAGTTGATGTTCTCCAACGAACGCTATATTTCTCCCTCTATTTATGCTATTTAAGTCGGCGATACTCATGTTCGTTGCTAAAGAAGTCATCGAAGGGGTGGATGCCTGCGACTGGTACACGAGGGTGGGGTGGGTAATTAATTTAATTTGATAATATTATTATTTAAAATTAAAACAGAATTAACACCCGACTTTTGCTTTATTAAACTTAATATCTAGAAATTGATTTGGTGCATATTTAACATCTAACTATGATTTCTTTCCCTAAATTAGACTCTTCTATTAACCTTTGGGCCTCATCATGAAGGACGCTTAATGGAACGTGCCTTTCTTTTTATCTTTGCAATTAGATTCAGCCTTATATAATCTATTTTGCTAGTGTAACAGAGAGCGCACTCACACCTACTTTTTAACTTGCTTATTATTTCAATAATTAGGTACATGATTTTTTCTTTAAAAAATCGAGTGTGTCCCACCCCCCACCTACCAAACCCACACCACCACCCTCCATCGCCACCACGTCGCAGTCGTTCGCAATAGCGTCGCGACGCTGTTATCACACCAATGTTGGAAGGTGCGCCTAAGACGACGCACCATCATGGCCAGACGCCTCAACAATAGAGAAAAAAAAAAGGGAGTTTGGGTGAGGATTTGAGGATGGGGGCGTCTAGTGCAATTTGTGAATTGCATGCCTTTGCTTGTAATTTTAGATCAAGGTCAGTTAACAAATGGTGGTGGTGGTGGTGGAGTGGGATGAAGAGCGATTTTAACCAATTATTTGAGTGATTGTGATCACTAAAAAGGATAATTTGTGATCGATAAAATAGGTGATAAATAAAAAGTTACCTAAAAAGTATAATTACGACTAAATTTATAAGTGTGACTCACAATTTGTGTCTTTATGATTGTGACCTTATGCAATTTGTGATTGTGACTATAATTATGTGTTATTGTGAGTTGTGACATTTGACTTGTTATTGTGACATTGACTGTTACCTGATTTTTGAAACTTTTTCACAGATTTCTTATTTTTTAAAGTGTGTACTGAAACTTTTGTAATTATGTATTCTTTCCTAATTTTTATCCTTTACAAAAAGAATTGTTTGTCGAAAAAAAAAGGAAAACCCAATTTGCCGTCTAGGGCTAATGTAGAATCTACTCAAGAAAATTTAATTAGGTAAATATTAATATATCCCGATCGAAGAAGTCATTTTGGAGGAGAAAGGGATCATTGCGCTCCCGACATGTCCAAATGGATTGGTCTTGAACAAGTTGAAAAAAAACATACAACCTTGATAAGATTAGCATTCCATAAAATATCAAATATGGGACTTGTGCTCCTTAGGGTTTCATTAAGAGATTCTCTATACAAGATGTTGTCTATTGAGAGAACGTGTGCTTAAAAATAGCTAAATAAGTTACAATACAATTTCTATTTTACTTTTTAAAATACAGAGTGAATTTGACTCTTCATTCTTGGAGAGTCAAACAAGCGTTATTCTTACATTATAATGATTGCGTTTAATAAGTTACATATTTTAATACTCTATTTCTTAAATTATTCAAACATATTTGAATTGATTGACCATTGACATATAAAAATTTATGTTAGATAAAGATGATGAGAAATCAATAAATATTTATTATAAAAAATGGAACCAAAAAAAAAAAAGCAATATTGAAGTGTATAAAAATATGCACCCTCTAAATTCAAAGATACACTTTATAAATAGACTCTTGGAGAAACTATTAGGTTCTTTAAATTTTCTCAATGACAAAATTATCAAATATGCAATCAATTAAGTCTCTCCTAAAAGTTGGTTAGCTACCTCATTATGTTCTAGGATTCTGTTTCTTCGTAGACCATTTGTGACATGCAAGAAGGACTTGTGTAACTACAGCACGATTAGAAAAAAAAAATTGATTGAACATATGAACCTTGGTCAAAGGGATTTTGTCAAATATTTCAATTGGTACTGGTTATTATATCTTTTTTAACACACTCAAACTGCCAGATCTCCCATGCTTCATTGTCAACATTATTCACGGGATCTTAAGCGTCATATATCATCACAACACAAAAAGGCCAACTTTAGAGACTTTTTTCACTCGCTAAATGTGATTTGAACTGCTTTATCTTCACACCACAAGCTACTCATCTCCATTTCTTTTGAGCAAGAACAAGGAAATGAGCGTGACTGGGAAAAACCAGAGTAATGCCAAGGCGAGATTCATCAAATGCAGGAAGAACTTGAAGAAACTGGTGGCCTTCTTCATGAAGACGAACAACAGAAGCCATATGCATACAGCCTCCATTCCTCTACATCACACTGTTTGGTGCAATGAGCTTTTTAAACTCTCCAATTATGCAAAATTTCGTGGCATGGAAGCCCGTGCTCTTGATCCAGCAATGGCTGACATTGTTGTAGCCCAAAGTCACTTCTGTATGAATCCCAATATCGTCATGTAAAAGTTTATCCATGAAATTTGTATATTAGTTTACTTTCATGTCATAATTTCAAGTTCTCTGTTCTGAATATATCTTTACAGTATTCAAGCAAGAAAGCTATCTTGCTTGATCTAGTTCACCTCTATACCAAAATCCTTCTATCAGGGCAAATGACATTGGAGAATGCAATTTATGCAATGTTCCAACAACTCAAGTACCATATAGCATGGTTGAGTGGAAAAAATATAGCATCAGATAGTGGAGCTGATGGATTTTTATCAGTCCAACAACATATACTTCTAAGCATACTCGTAAACAGGATAATGAATGAAAATTAATTGCGGGATACACACAAAACATCACTACAGAAAATATAATCAAGTCGTTCTCTAAAATAATTCATCAAAGAAACTTATTCGTTGCACACTAACGCCACATTATACGATATGATGCAGATGCCAAAAGCAAATTCCTGCACGTTTGCACACAGGTCTTGCAATTTCAAAAAACAAATCTACAAGTCCCGAGCATAAAAAAGAATAGATAATTAACCACCTAATTCATAGGGTATGAATGACATTCCTGAAGGAATGAAGTTCACATCTTACACTAGATGCTAAATATTGCAAGTAATAATGTACCACAAAACAATGAACATTAGTAGACGGATAACTAAGGCAAATCAGCCCAACAATTTCATAGCAGTCTCTACATGATCAACTGGTTAATGAAGTAATAAACAACGTATAACTAAGGCAAATCAGCCCAACAATTTCATAGCAGTCTCGACATGATCAAGTGGATAATGAAGTAATGAACAACTGCATTAAGCTCGAAAAGAGTGCCGAAGTTACCAATGCATTTATAGACTGAGGTTTCAAATTGCACAAAGCGATCATAGATTATAAATGTATACATGACATCCTGCACAAGCTTCACAAATAACCAAAATCCATGGGAACAATATAGATTATACTTTGTTGTTCATTTACCGAAGTGTACAATTATGCTGCGAGCAAAACAGACCTAAAAATCCGATCACAGATTAATGTGTGTGTATATGAATTGAAATTGCAAATTAAATAAACTTTACACAGAAAGGATAATAGAACATAAAACACAATAGCGTGATAAAGTTCAATGAACAGAGATAAACATATAGAAAGGGCATCAGTTAAAAAAATACAGATATAAATTAGGTTGCCATGCAATTCTGCCTCTTCAAAGTAGAGAAAAAAGGTAATGCCCACTTAGATCGTGTTAGTTGAAGAAAATAAATTCTGTTTTCCAATTTTATTCTATCTTGTCGTCATTTACATAGTCATGTACAATATTAATTACAGGTCATTAATAAATCTGCGATCAGTTGACATGTTCACAATACACATAAAGAAGATTTTCGTAATCGCGAAAAATATGAGTAGGTCATTAATCAATCTACAATTAGTTGACAAATGTTCACAAAACATGTAAAGTGTACATGCAGAGATTCTACAGACAGGATGTAAGCTCCTAGGGACGTAATAATGACCCAATGATTGATAAAACCAAACCATACCGATCAGTTAACCAAGATTCACGGAACACGTAAAACATATATGCAGTGATTCTCAACGAAGTAAGAATCCCATGCACGGCATGGGAAAAAAAGGTATGTTAGAAAGAAAATTATATAGCACTCAAGTAGAACAGTATAAAACACATTTTTCTTGCCAAGAATAGAAGCACCAGAAAAGATATTACTCAAAAAATAGAGCCATTCTCAGACAACATCTGAGAGGCAAGTCCCTGAAATCTCACAAGAATGCCAGACAGAAAAGAATTGTCGAATTAGAACAATCTGGAAATGCACATGCAAGATATCCCAAATCTTAATTTTTATCACTTCAATGAAAAGTGATTTAACATTCAAATTATCAAAACTCATTTGGTAGCTAAAATTGGCATGAAAAATAAAAAACCATGATGACAAAACTTAACAGCTTAGCTGAAATTTCAATTTTTAAACCAAATAAAGAGCAATTAGACATCATTACTCAATACAAAGGCAAAATGTCACATAAAGAGTAAAATAGAACTCTTCAACAAAGATTTACACTCTTATACGACTTCAACAACAACAAACTTCACAAGCACTCCAAAGAAAATCACCAGATAGATGATAGATATCACAGAATTACACTAAAATATCCATCTATTATCCATAAAATTAAAGTTTTCAACTTAAAATGAAGTAAAGTCTCTCTAAACAACAGCCACTCATAGCAGACAGACCATAAGAGGTCCCTTTAGTTTTTCTAACAACTTAGTTTACCCTGTCTATGAGCATTCATCCCTCCTTTTTTTTTTTCCCCAACCAAAATAGGTTAAAAGAACATATAAGAAAATTTAAGTTATTTAACCAAATGGGTTTCTTCCAATGATGCAAGCATCACTGAAGACACATCAGAGCCGGAGGGCTGTGCAAGCAAGCTCGTCCACATCAGTGTCATCCATAGGCGGCATCTCATTGAGATCGAAAGGCAAGGGCTTTTTACAAGAAGATGAGGCGATGTCGCATACAGCATCATCAACCACAGAGGAGGAGGAGTCGCAGTCGCTATGACACTCTTCCGGATCAAACGGCGTCCTGGGGAGACTCCTCTGCTGGATGAAAGCCGGTGGCCGCGGTGGAAGCTGCCTGGGTCCGCTGAATGACTCAACAGTGCTGCTCATGCCGCTGGAGGTGGGCCTCTGCTGGGCGATGATCTGGTGGTCCTCAGCGTAAAACCGGGGATCCATGAATGGATCATTAGGGTTATTGTTGATCGGTTGTTGAATATGGTTTCTAGGGTTGAAATCAGGGAAGGCGTTAGCATCTAGGGGCAAGGGGAAGTTTGTCTTAGCTTTAGGGCCACGGAGTGAGCGGGCAGCAGCGTCATAGGCCCGGGCAGCTTCCTCAGCAGAATCAAAGGTGCCCAGCCAGACACGAACCTTCTTCTGTGGGTCTCTGATCTCGGCCGCAAATCTTCCCCATGTACGTTTTCTCACTCCTCTGAATCTGACCTCATTAGATCCTCCAGATCCATTAGCTTCTCTGCCATTCACCCCCCTCGCCGCCGGTGCTTTCCCTTTCTTCATGACCTCAAAACCGAAAATTTAACCCACAAAAATGAAAACAGCTCTTCTCTGTAAAGAGAAACAGAAACAGAGAAAAAGACGAAATGAGATGGCTACGAAAAAACCATATTTACAAAGGAAAATTTAATAACGCCACAGGGAGAAGAGATGAGATTGTGATAATCTAATTTTTCTTCTCTCTCTACTGCGTGTTGTGTGTGAAAACAGATAGGGGTAGAGAGAGAAGGGAGGTCGAGCGTTCTTTTGTTTTTCATTTATTTTTCCCATAAAAATTCTTTCTTTCTTTCTTTTCGCACGCGGACTCGCACCTGCAGACGGCAGACTCCATTTGCTTCTTTTTCATTTTTCTTTCACACGCATTAATATAAAAAGACTATTATAGCCTTTTGGATTTTTTTAATTTTTTTTGTCATAATATTATGTGATTAGGTCAATCCACAAAATTGTTTAGGTATTTGGATTCACTTGAGTTGGAGAAATAGTTAAGAGTTTGGTCTTCATATGACAAGTACGTACGTGTGCATGGATATAGATCGAGATATCATAACTCAACTTATCAAGAGTACTTCGTTAAGATATTGTGAGTATGCGTACGTTAAATGTAGATATTAATGAATGATTTAGAATTTTAAAGTCAGCACTGTATATAGATTATTGTATTAATTACGCTTGTACTTTTTGAATTTTATCATGATATCAATGCACTCCAAAATGACAATATTAGAATGCAAGTCGTAGGACCACTCACTAATTATCGTTCTTGATTAAGAAAAACATGGAATTTGGTAAGTTCATCAAACACGTTTTTTTTGAGTTTGAACAACTCTACGCTGATCTCTCCTCGACCCATTTTTTCTATTAGTAACAACTCTTTTAAGAGAATAAGGCCAAGAACACGAATTAATCCCACTATCTACACAGCCGAAAATTATATTTTTCAAAAATTTAAAAATAAAACGTCTATAAATATATTTAAGTTTCAAAAAAAATTTCAATATATACATTTATGAGTATTATATGCTAATGAAAACCGATTAAAAAAATAATAGTAAGATTTCAAATTTTGTGCCGAAAATGTACAAATGACTTAATTCGTTTTCTTATTGATATACGGCATCAGACAGTATAATGAACAAAATTTTAATCCCCTTTTTTTACTGTCCACTTGAAAACCAAGTAGTCCCTACATAAAAGAGTCGGACAACGTTATTTACTCCTTTCCTATGCAACTACTCACCAAATGTATTTATTGCAATAGAGGATAGAACACATGTCTATACATTTGACAATAAAAAATTTAATTTTGCCAATGCCTCACTCACCAAATGTATTTAGTTCAATAAAAGGTGGAACACCAAAGTATTCAAGTTAATATTGAAAATAAAAATTAAAGAAATCTTTTCATAAAGTTGGCACATTTTTCGCGTTTCATTTTTATTTTCTTTGAGAGGCGGGATGACATAATGCGCATTTCAAAAATATACATTTATATAGTTTAGTATGTTAAGTCTTTGTGCGCACCAAATTTAAGTCTATATTCTCGATAAACATGTGAATTTTAAATTTGTGAATCCTACCATTTCACCAATCGGCAACCAATCTTATAAAATCCTGAGACCATGGTACAATTGGAGGTGTCAACGTCAACTAGACCATCTAATTTAAGCCGAGTGAGAAAATATCGTGTTATATATCGACTCGAGATAGTTTGACGTAATTCTCTTAGCCTGTATCCCTCGCCTATTTTTTTCAACTTTTCTTTAAGCATGGTTGATAGGGTTTCTGCTTCTATTTTACGTGGAAGAGTTCATTTTGGACAACTTTTATGAAGACTTTTCTAACTGGAGAAATACTTCCAGAAAATTATCATAACAGGTCCAAAGGAACTTCTTAATCTCATAAGCATCTTTTTTGCTTTGTCGTCTTTTAAAAATGAGTTGAAAAGGAAACAAATTTTAAAAAAGGTTACACCCGATGACCTGGTCAGCCAAAGTCCGACAAGGATCGAGCCTATATGAGAGCAACTCAATCTAACTCACTTCACACTTGAACACGATCAAATTGAGTAACATTGCAAACTAATTAAAGGTATGAAAAACTATTAATTGGCTATTATCTTTATTGAAATACTTGTGTTTTAGGAGCATGGAGGCTCCTCTTCATGACAATTTGTCGGTTCGATTAATGAAGAATCAATTGTAAGCTTGTAATCTATGATCAACTTCCTTTTTAATGCTCTAATCGTATTTTAAGGTTGTAGTATGTTGATACCACAATTGTCTGGCGTGGCATACAAATGTAATGTTTTGAAAGGATATTCTACTATCATTAGTAATTTTTTATCGAGAGAAATTTAATAATGAAATGAATATATTACAACTCAATTAATTAGGCACTGTTTGTTTCCCATTTGTAGAAAAAATTTTACCGACCGAAATATTTGACCACATTGTGTGATAGTGAGGCCCATTTTTTTGAAAAAAAAAATGATCAAATTATTCATTTTTTCCTTAAAATAATGTGAAACAAGCATGGACTTAGTTTGTCAATGGATTGGTTTATAGTATTTCGTATCCAACTCAGATAAATGACCAAATTTGTGATTAGGTCCTCGGAAACTTCGAAATCATTATCGTCTAAATGTGTGATATAATTTTAATCTATTGAGTTAATGACTTAGAGTAAAGTGCGTTTTCATTTAAGTGAGCCAACTCAAAATATTTTTCTATTTTTATAGCGATTCTAAAACCTTCTTATTATAAGTGACAAGTCACGTGACGGTCAATTAAGTAAAAAAACCATATAGAAAGAATCACAAGCAGAGGGCAAGCAAAGGTCACCACTCTTCTCCCACATTGCCTCGCCCACAAGCCCTTTCCGAGACGATTGAGTCACGCCCTTGGTGCCTAGCATGGAACAATAATTATCGAATATTCCATAGGTCTTCTCTGAGGCGATCAAGCCTCGTCCTTAGGCATCCACGCGGAACAGTTATTATTCGAGACTACCTCCGTTGTAGTTCATATTTGATGGGCACACATCTATGACAGCTAGGGATGGACATGATCAAGCTAATAAATATTTGGTTATCGAAGACTATAAATGCTAAGTTGTATATTATTAAAGACAAAAAGTACGACATTAAACAAAGATTTAAAACTTATGGTGCAATTAAAAAGTGGTACAACAAAAGAACATATATCGTTTCAATATAATTACCAAGCAAAAAACTGTGAAAGATGACGAAATAACATTTGAAGTAAGATTGAAATGTAGAGGAAAAAATAATTTTGAGCTCTCGAATTTAACTATAAGTGTCACATATACTTGGGTGTTAGTTTCATTGTCTTGGGCTTTGGCAGGGTACTTCAAACCGTGCGTAACGATCTAAAATTCGTAGATTTTTTTATTTAGTGCCTGTTTGAGCTCCATTTTTTGTCCAAAATGGATTTCGAAATAGTATTTTGATGGAGAATATGTAACTAGAAAACATAGAAAAGTTTTGAATTTGCATGTAATATTATTTTATTGAAAAATGTGTGGTTAAAAATAAGAGAAATAAATGTATTTTGAAAAGTTTTGAATTTGCATGTTGGCACAAATCACTCATTACCAATAAAAAAGAATTTTATAAAAATATTTAGTCCCTAGTGGGTCCACTCCATTTTTTCTAAATTCATTTTCAACCTAATATTTTATAGGACAAACGATTAGTGGCGACAAACGGGCCGAGCGGCTCGTCGGCTCGGCAGCTCGACTTATGAAAAGTCGGCTCGTTGACGAGCCAAAGCACGAGCAGAGCAGACTGGCTCACTAGAGCTCGACTTGCCCGGTTCGTGGGTGAGCCAACAAGTTTGTCCGAGGCGGAGGGTTTATCATTTTTTTAAATGTTTATCTTTTAAAAAAATAAAAAAAATGACGAGCTCGCGAGCCGAAGCTCAACTCGGCCCACGAGCCACAATTTTTATCTAAATTCATTTTCAACCATATATTTTATAGAACACACAATTTTTATTAACTTTTTACCCGCATATTTCATCAACTTTTATCAAATTTATTAAAAATCTTAATTTGTTTGATTTCATTAGAAAAATTAAATAGTGATTGATGGAAGAATGTGTGGTTAAAAAGAAAGGAGAATTTTTGGGTTTATGTGTAATATTATTTTATTGATAGAATGTGTGGTTGAAATGAAGAAAGAGAAAAAAATGAGAAAGAGAATGAGCAAAAGAATGGGTTTCAAACATAGGCTTAATTCTTAGATAAACGTTTTTTTTCAAGCAGAAAGCCAGAGGACAAATATGTCATAAAAGTATAAAGAACGTGCCCCGTGAAAACTGTTGACCGACCACAATGGTTCGGGCCCACCGGAATTGATTATCTTACGCCCCAATTTCTAGGCTCTAGCCATACCAAGTCCCCTGTCAGCCATGAAAATCTCCATAGTCCAGATTTCCCAGCCTCACCATACAGGCAACCGATTAAGCTCATTCTACGTTGTGGTATTAGGGTTTGATTAATCCATGAAAGAGTTAGTACTGTAATGTTCTAATGTTAGTACAAGCTCATATGGGTGGCATACCTTGTTCAATGAATACATACACACGTGATAGAAGACTTTAAAGCGTCAAAATCATTTATGGGGTGGAGCTAAGGTGACAAATATAAAATTTTTTTTTTCTTTTTTTTGCGCTAAATACACAGAAAAAAAATATCATAAAAATAAAAAAAATTACCTTTCCAGGACTATTTTTATAGCTTTACTTTTCGAGAGAAATTGATAAATTGTTTTGTCTAAAAATTTAAGGGTCTCTTGTCTTTAACATTTTCAAGTTGTTTTCTGTTTTCGATTTTCCAAAAACAGTGAAAACGCGTTCTCTTTCAAGTTAGTGAAAACTCATTTTTGAAAACAAGTTAAAAATTTACAAAGAAAACGAAAAACAACATATTGGTGTTTTCAGTTATAATCAAGTCAAAATTTTCAAAATACGTTTTGGGTG